AAAAAACCGTTCGAAACAAATATGATGGTTGAAAGACATTAAAAATGCGAGATAGAGAGCAAGAAAAATATGTGGAATGTTAAGAATGAGAGCGAAAGTAATGCAATAATGATGTTAATGAGAGAGAGACAGAGTAAGATGCTAGCAATGGATGCGAATTTGCACGCTATAAATGGGTAAATTGGTGGAATGAAACATGATTTCAAGCGATACCGGCACGGCATGAAACGAAAGACAGTTTTAAGCAAAAGCTTCGGAAGCATCGGCTTCTCAAGAAGCTATTAAATCAGGAAAATTATCAGATTCTTTCAAATAAGATTTTCTTATGAAAAATAAATGAAATTCAAAGAAGAAGAAAAAAGTAAGAAATATCCCGAAAAGTATGAGGAAAAATTGAGAAAAAGAGGAAATTATAAGAGAGATAAAAAGAAAGCATAAGAAAAAAGCCGAAATTTCAACACAAATTCCATCGTTTCATTGAGATGTGAATTGAACAGATCCAGAAAAATCAGTTAAATCGTTTCATTTTCTTGTTTCGTTCGATGGTCGAAAGTGTTTCTTAAAAATCGACACTTACATTTTCGGAGTTGTATCTTTTGAGCATTCGCAAGAATGTGGTATCGCTACCACCACCACCACCGTAGTAATCCATTTTGCTTATTTTTTTCTGTTTCGGCTCGTATGTCGATTTGTTTCGCTTGATAACACTATGTATAAATTCTATTCTATATGCCTCCCCCACCACTTGAGGTTACGCGGCGCGCGCGATTCACAAACTAGGCACTATATATATATATATTTTTTTTTTCCTATACGGTTAAGCACAATCGATACGAGGTTCAAGCAAGAGGCACAAATTCATTATGCAAAAAGGCAATTTTTGATTCGAAATTATGAAAGAGTATATGATTGAGTGTTTTTGTCTGTGGGCTTTTTCTTTCGAATCATGTGTTTTCAAAACAATTCGGAACTAGTTTACTGGGGCTATAGTTCTGAAACCGACCCGAGAGAGAGAGAGAGAGAAAAAGAACTATCATATGACAACAATCAAAATCAACAACAGTTCAAAATGAACACAACCGCATTTTCACAACAACACAAACACATGCACTTGTCTCTGTTCTGCTTTTTGACTAGTTATCGTCTGATCTTTTATTTTGATTTCAATTTCATTGGCATTAATTTTTGTTCTTTTTTTCTCGGGACAAAATTCCGTTTCGAATTTTAACTGCCTTTTGAATTTTCACGAAGAATCGACCGTCTCTTGTGTCGTTGGTAAAAATTTTCCCCGAATTGGACGAAAGCGAGAGACAGAGAGTCATATAGGAACAAAAAAACCAACCACACACTGAGAGATAGTGGCCGAATGAGAGCGAGAAACGAGAAAGTATGCACACACAGTGTTCTAGTTACAGGACACAACTGACTACCATGTTTGATTTTTTGTTGGAATGTTTCCATCTTTTCTTCTTTGCGATCGCGGAGCCCAACCAGCCAGTTACACTTTGAACACACTGAACATTCTCTTTACTCGGTTCTGCTTCGAAATTATTCTACCGGCCACCACGACGAAATACAACAAGAACGAACGAAAAAAAAAAAATAACACAACAACAAAATGGTGTATGCGGGAGGGTAATTGCACAATACCGACGGGGAGGTTTATACACTCTGTGTGTTAGTGTGTATTTTCATGTTTTTTTCTTCTTCGTTTTCGTTTTCGTTTTCAATGCTTTAGCATACATTTGGGTGTTTTTGTACTAGCGAGCGAGAAAGAGAGAGACTTTTGCACGAAGACTACGTCATTTCATTCAAAATGAGCACGCACGATGAAATTGTGTGCATGCCAAACGTATTGACTTTCGCGTTCCCCCCGGAACGAATGAGAGAGAGAGAGAGAGAAAGAGAGACAGACCAGTTTGGATGCAGAAATGTACTTACCAAACACACACACAGAGCGAGAAGCGCAAGCCGTTATGTTCGTTTGAGTTGGTGTGTGGATGGTATCACTTCAAGTGTTTGCTCTGTATTTGTGCGGTTATCCAACGAGAGACTCTCTGTGTATCGTCTTTTTTTACTACTAGCCAGCTTTTACACATTTGTGTGCATCTCGCGTTCGCTTTTTTCCTTCTTCCAGTCTCTGAAGTTCTTTTGCATGCACTTTCACACACACACACACACACACACACACACACACACACACACACAGCGTCATTGTGTGTGTGCATGCTTTGGGTGTCGCGCGCGTTCGTCGCATGCATATCGCTTCTTGCTTTTTTGCTAGTGTTGGCCCAAGTACAACGAACGGCGAATTACATACGATATGCATTTGTAATAAAACGGATGACATACACACTTGAAAGCCCCCTGATGATTGTCTCTCGTTCAATTGCATTCCATGTCCTAAATTATTTTGTGTACGTATGTTTCGTAGATGGAATTTTTTGCGGGTACACTTCGTGCCGCGAGACTACGACGACGACGACAACAACCGTGCCGGATATATATCTGTTAAGTGTGAATTATTCATAGGATGGCCTGGAAAATGCGGCGCTATCCTAACACACAGAGCGGTTCAAAGCACACCACACGACGCGTGCGAGAGCATTAGCCAGCTAGCAATTTTCCATGGATAGTGTACTACATCTCTCTCTCTCTCTCTCTTTCCCTGGGTGTGTGTGTGCGTTTTCGATAAGTTTTCGGTGCACCGATTATAACAGCGATTGCAATCGCATCGAATGCGTGCATTTCCAATTTTATCGCCCAAATGTTATCCGATTTGTGAATTTTGCACACTGTGCCAAAATCGGTCAACGCTTTTATAATTTGACACTATCGCAAGTTTTGTTCGGATTCAGTGGTGGCGGCGGCAACGGCAATTGGTCAAACGATGAATGCCAACAGAGATGCATTGCAAGTGACGGAAAAGAAGAAGCAGAACAGCAATGAATGACAAGTGGCAGACGTCAAAATTGCTAAATATTCATTCCATTGACAGATTTTTATGTTTATCCTGGCGACATGTGTTTGTCATGTGACGTCACACCGGACGAGTGTAACATGTTCACTGAACATTGTTCACGTGACTAACGAAAATATGTAGAATTCAATGAGAATTTTAAAAAGCATTCGACAAATATGGGCTATTAATCGAGTTGCAATTCAAATTGTCACGTTTTTTTTTCAAGCTTTCAATCAAAATTACTTGCATAATTTATATCAAAATCATTTTCATCGTTTGAAATGTATCTGAAATTTGATTTCGAAATGGCTTCAAATTCAATTTTAATCGACATTTTTTTACATTCAATCGAATTCCATGGAATTCGAGCATTAAAAAGCTCGAATTCGAGCTGCGGCTCGGGAAATACGCTGATGTATCTCTTTCGGCAAGTTTTCTTTTGTTTCATCTATTTCAACAAGCAAAAGGGAGAATGGATTCCCTAAAGCAGCGGAAATATGGAAATGCCCATTTGAAAAGGGCCAACGATCAAATTTCTGTTTGAAATTAAGAATGAACTAATAACACTTGAAGTGCTACACTTTCCGCTAATGAAAGCAATTCTGATTGATAAACAGATCTGTGTGTACATGTACACTGTTCACACTCGGATGTGAAAACAATCTTGTTGATGAAACAATACTATGTAACAGTATGAAACCAAGTAGCTCATGTTGTTGATAAAAATGCGAAAACTCAGTGATAAAAGGCAAGCAGCTCGTTAAAAAAAATACTGTACTAAACGGAATGTGTTGGATTTGTCGATTAAAAACGAACAAATTTATGTTGGATCGAAGTGAGAAAAAAATTGCGAACGAACAAAATCAGTCGATTAAAATGTTGACCTGTTTCGATACTTAAATTCGCATTATTCCCTTATAATCAAGATCATTAAAAGCGGTGGTTTGGTCAATGCGACGACATACATATTATTATACGGTCAATTGGTTTGATGATTAAAATTGGCGATGCGGTGAGTTTTTTGCCGATTATCACATGGCGCGTCATGGTATTTTATTTACAAATATAAATTGATCTGTCTCTGTCTCTTTATGTGTGTGTCTCTGCATGTACAATTCGAAAATGTTAATTCACATATCGAAACGATAAAATCCGTGCACGTACTGATTAAACTCCGCTTTATAATTGCAATGAAAATGAGTTTTCAAACAAAATAACCGATAACAAAAAAAAACAGCACACGAGAATGGAATGAAATGAAATAGCGTGCAAAATAGCTTTGATCCAAATGGAATTTGTGTTTGATGGCACGCGGCAGGCTCACAGGTAATGGGGGGGGGGAATGCGTAAACTGCGTTTATGATGTTTTTGTGTTTCATTGGCACAGATAACAAAAAAACACGTATGATACAAAATGCGAGCGGTTGAGATGAGAGTTTGGCAGGCGAGATGGGCAAGCGGCCCATTTCGCATGTTATGCCAAATTATGGTTTTTGGCGAATGTTTATTTTAAAGCATATTTAAATGAGATTGGGTGAGAATGAGCGAGAGAGATAGAGAGAGAGAAAAAAAAAAACAGGCAAAATGAACGGAAAAGGTTCATGCATTATGACGATTCCCATATGGGTATAAAACATGTTGTTGTTGCTAATTTTATAGTTCCTTCAATGGATTTTTGTGTGAAAATATATATTAATTTATAAATATACGGTCATAAAAAATTGTTTTTTTATAACGAAAACTCCATGTTCATAATTTGAAAATTGAAAAAAAAAACTCAATGGATTTGAAACGAAAGAAAAAAAAAACGAAAAAACTTAAAAGAAAAACCAAAATATGTTCAACTCAAGCGATTCGAGTGAAAAGTAATGGAAAAAAACCAAAAGAAAAGAGAAAAAATAACGGGAGATTTAGATAGATAGATCAAATTATAAAAACAACGACGACGATGATGAAAAAACAGATAGAGATAGAGGCGAGTGATAGAGAAAAAAAGTACGATGTTGCGAGATAGAAAAAAACTGGTGAATAGTGTTACCTGTTTTTGTGCCATCGCCTGCATCTGCTGGAACATTTGACGCTCTTCTTCTTTACCTGAGCATTTAAACCCATACACACATACACGTACGCACGCCGACACACGGGGAATAAAGAAAAAGTTTGATTAGTTAATTTCATATAATGGAAAAATGTGAATAGTTTTAGTTGACACCGCCTCCGCGTGTCCTCGCTTGTGTTATTTATTATCACCGCCCGCGCGCGCTTTTAATATCTAAAATCGGGAACACAGCGCGCGACGAGAAAAAAAAAAGAGAACGGGAATTGAACAGGTAGAGAAAGAGCGATGTGTACATCTGCAGGTGCATATATTATCGCAGCTGTGTGACACCGTGTGTGCAAGTGCACATTTTTATAGAATATTCTTTTTTTTATTCATTACACGGTAGCACACCGTGTGATAAAAGGTATAAGCGGAAGGGCCGGTAATTTTTTCTCTGTTGCTCAAGAGTCCATATCTCATGAACTCGATGAGCTTTATCATGTGCGAAAATTATTTTTGAAAAAAAAAAAAAAACGTACACAAACACGTACATAAGATAGGAAGAAAGAAAAAAAAAATCCATAACTTACCCATTCCTTTCGTTTGAAGCATTTCCAGCAGCTTTTTAATGCTTTCATCGCGTGCAGACAACGTCTGCTTTTGTGTTTCAATTCGCAGTTCGAGTTCCTGTAAAAATTGTGCATCAAGCGCCCACACATACACACACACACACAAACACCGAGAAAAACAAAAAAAGGAAGAAAAAGAGAAGAAAAAGAGTGTTAATAAAAGGGCCAGGTTTTGAATGATACCGTTTGATGCCAGGCCAAACTATGTGCTAAAGGGCCACCATGAATAATTTGTAATCGGTCTCAGCGGTGTGAAGCGCTTATAACATTTTCTATGGACGAGCTCGGTTTTTTTTTTTGCTCGCCAAAAAGGAACAAGAAGCAACTTTTGCAACTTTTCGCATAAAAATCGAACCATTTTTCCAATTACAATTAATTCTTGTTTTTGACAAATTTTCTAGAATACTTTTTTTTCCGTATTTGTCATGCAGTTATTGACACGGAAGTTATTAACCACAAGGGCTGTGACACAACACTGCTGTGTGCTGTTTTTTTTTCTCGATATATGTGATCGGCTGCGCTCACCTTAATTGTATCTCTAAGAATGGCTATTTCTCTTTGCAGGTGCTCATTTTCGGCGTAAAGCGCCTCAATTTGCTGCTGCATTTCGATATTTGGCTGACGCATTCGCATTCTAAGCTCTTCTTCGAGTTGTCGGACCAACATTGCTTGTTTCTATTTGGTGATGAGAACAGGAAAAGAGAGAAACGTTAGAAAAGCGACTCTAAAAAAAAAGTCAACTTTGACATTTTCACGACGGTCGATCAATTCGAGACCTTCAAAAATTGAACACGATGATAAAGACACTCAAAAATTGAAGAAAAATGTGAGAAATGAAGAAAAATTACGACAATTTCCCTCATTTATTCTAGGCTCTAGAAGAAATAAGATTTCAATCTGAATGAGGATCCTCTTCAATATCTGGACTCTCGGTAAAGCACCGTAAAGTGCGTTAAGTGAAATAAAAAGATAGAAGGCAGGGCTTGAATAATGTCGACCGCCTTCAAAAATGTCAAAAACACCAGTGCCTTGAATTCATATTAATGGCGTTGGTATTTGTGTGCGTACCTGATTTTCACTGTTCAACAATTTTAATTGGTCGTTAATAAGGCTATATTTTGCACTCTCTTCTTTGCGCAGTGCCCGCTCTTTCTTTAGCTCCGGTGACCAAAACGTCTTAATGCTATGCATTGAACTACCTAATTTTTGGTTTGTCAATTCTAATTCACGTTTTAGTGTGCCTAATTCGCGTTGCAAATCGGTTTGTTGATGTTGTAAATCGCCCAAATAGCCCCGATCACTTGCCGCCATATTTAATGGATTCGGACTTTGGCGCGCCGATCGACCGTACAGCTCGTCCTCAAGATACAGTCCACGCTCGAGCGATCGATCCCTTGATCGATCTCTTGGCTCGCGAATCGGTATGAATTCACGATCGTGCACATCCACCAAACCGCCTCGATCCAATGACTGATATCGAGTTCCTACAACAACAAAAAATGACAACAAGTGATTAATTGGCAAAAGTTCAACCCAAAAGATTGTGAAAAATGTCTAATGAATGGACAATATGGTGCTAAACCAAGAAAACAAAAACTCACTTGGATAATCCATGGTATGTGAAATTGGTGGCCGACTTGCACTTCGGCTACGATGATGAGCCCCACCAGCTGGACTAGTCGGTTCATCCATATCTCTGTAGTACGGACTTCCCATTGTTGCTGCTGCAACGGAGGAATCAGTATAACGTTGTTGTAATGAAGCGTACCGTGTTGGTTGTCTTGTATGGCTTTGAAATTGTGTCAATCGACTACTTCGATTCTGATCGAATATTGGTGTGATATAATGTAATGAATAATGATCGCCAGGTCGAGATTGCCGTACTAATGTTCGTACTAAGTGGATATTATGTGTGGGGTTTTGTTTTTGGTCGGTATGTAATGTGTTTGTGTGATGAAATTTTGATTGTTTTTTTTTCATTTTGAATTTTGATTGAATTGTTGGTGTTTTTTTTTTTGAAGTTCATGCGAATGAGATGAATTGATTGGAGATGGTATGATAATGGATGGGCGGGTGGATTTCAAACGCAAAAAGTATGACGAGAGAGAAAAGAAAAAAGAAAATAGAAAATGCAAATCAATTCGTGCCAATTGAAAACCAATAATATGATTTTGTTCTTTTGTTTTTTTTTTTTTGTTAAATTGAATGAGATTTTTCTTTTTTCTTGTTATATTCAAACCAAATGACTGAATGGACATTCAAAGGCTCATTTTTAAAACTTAAATGGAAATTTGAAAATGAACGCGACAAAATAAACGTATGAAGAATCGTTAAAGAGATATACGATTTAATCGTTGAAGAGATAAAGGTAACAGAAAAAAATGGAATTAAAACGAAGTCAAAAAACGTCGGAAATTTACCAGAGGGGCTGCCACGTGTTGCGTAATCTCGAGAAGGTGATCGATCTACCGTGGGCAATTCAGTGATGCGTCTGGCTGAGGTTGAACGTATGGGTCCGGTTCCAGGACTTCGTGTACCAGAATTAGCAGCTGCAACTGAATTGTATGGTTCTCGAGACATAATATACCGCGACACAGGCGCGGTCTAACCTGTAAATTCCACAACAAACGCAGAGAGAGAGAGAGAGAGAGATAAAACAGTTTATTAGATTCAAATGGCCACTTTGGTCGGTTGGGAGCAAACAATGGAACGATTAATTTTTTTCGTTTCGTGTTCATAAATTAGTTTTTAAAAATAATTTCCAAGCAAATTATTCGTATACGAATATACATATAAAAGTAAATCGAATTCTTTTTCGTATTTTTTGTTTGGTTTGGTTTGATTTGATGTTATTTTTTCTTGCATAGTATCATTTATCTGGAGAGAGTTGGGAGGAAGGTGGAAAATTTGCAAATAAAATCAACAACAACAGCATCAGCAGAAGCAACAACACAAAAAAAGAGATTAAGCGGAGAAAAAAAATGTTTTTTTTAAATTCCGGAATCATGAATTTTAAGGATGCTTTAAATAAAAATCAATATTGACACAGTTGTCTACAAACACACACAGTGTAGATCAAAAAGAAAAATCAAACATACAAACAGGCATCAAAGAGTTCAGAGTGTGTGCCTATTTTCAAATTGAATTCAATGCGGCGGTCGGTTTTTTTCTTCTCCGCTTCTTTCGTTTGCCGTCTTTGCGCCCGGCTGGAAATTTATAGGAGTTGCAAAACAAAATTTGAAAAAAAAAAAAATTGGGATACAAAAGAAACAATAAAAATCGGATAAAATTTGGATTAAACATTGATCGATTCGATTTGGACGGGGAGAGGAAGAGCACAAACTCGGCGCTGTTACAGAACGAGCACAGTCGGCACAAAATGAATTTCTGAATTCGGTTACAGAAATAAAAAGAGAGACGAAAAGGAAATGGGCACAACAGCGCAGCAAACAAAGCGAAAACAATTGGCATTTCAAATAAATTATCAATTTGGAAAATGGCATAATTCAGACAAGGCATACAATCGGCTGAAATGGGAAAGAGCCGAAGCTAGAGCAACAGAAATCGATGAGCGAGTCAATGTAATGGAACTAGAGTGAGCAAGAAATGAATGACTGTGGAATATGTGAAAATTGCAAGAGAGAGAGAGAGAGAGAGAGAGATAAAAAAGCCACCAACGTTTTTCTCGCTAAAAATATGCGACATACAGTGCGGCCAAAAGTATTAGATAATATGCTGAGCCGTATTATATTCTCGACCGAGCCGAAATCGTGTGTGGTGGAGAGAGAGAGAGAGAGAGAGCGTGAAAAGTGACAGTTGAGCGTATAATGCATGAGTTAATACACACCACCACTGGAATGGTTGTGAGCTTTTTTTTCTTGAGCTGTGAACAATCTCCAATAGATATATGGTTGTGTCGCGATGGTGATGTGCTTAAAGTTCTCTCGCGCTCATCGAATGGATACACATGCAGAGACGTATATTCTTGGGCTCATTCGTTCTCTCTCCCTCTCTCTTGCCCGCTCTCTGTCACGCTCTAATACACACACACAATTTTCACTACGAATTATAGTACGCGCGCACAAACACATACACACGTGCACCGCTCGAGTCCAACGAGAGTATTTTTGGATGTAATTATCGATTTTGTGCCGTACATTTGTGTGTGTGTGTATGTGTAACAGTGAGACATGTGCGAAGATTGGAGAAGATTCATCGACGCCGTTGACGGGGTTACAACGCGCGTAATGATTTCGCGTAAAAGTAACAGCAGAGAACAAAACGGCAAAATCCAACAATCAGCAGCAACTTTTTGGGCCGCAGCAGCCTCATCGAAACGACAAAATTTATGCGGAGGAAAGAAATGAGGCTATAGGTCAAAAATTTAGCGTTGAAAAATAAAAACATAAATGCTAAGAGCTTTTTGATGTTCGCATGAAAAATCGACGTCGATGCCACACAAGTCTGCTTTGAGCAAATCGATGAAACGTGTGGAATTTTCATCAAGCAATGAATGACTGTGGACTGTTCTATGCCTATTTCTCAAGAAAAAACATCAATTTTGCACTTTGAGCATATAATAACTGAGCACTTCCTCATATGGTATGCGTTTTCCGGCTTGCAATTGTTCAAATTGGCGCATGCAAATTCCAACATTCGAAATTCATCAATCGAATTGTCAGGCTCATAACTTAAAACTGTGAATCAAAAGAAGTGAAATCTCAATCATTCTAAACATTGCTAGCTACCTAGGTGAAGGGAATAGCTTTATTGCAAACATTTTCTAATTTCTGAATGGTAAATCGTGCACAACGAATAACGAATGGTTGTCACAAATGGAGAGCGACGAGAAATTCATACACACACTCTCTCACATGGGGGTAGAGAGTTTTTCATACACATGGAGGTAGAGAGAGGAAAAGCGCAACGGAGCGAAAAGTTCGAAGAGAACGTAAACGAGTGAGCATGTGAGAGAGTGGTCGTGAATTCGTGATACACTACTTGAATGTATGTGTGAGTGAGAGAGCGAGCGAGCGAGTGTATTGGTGAGAGCATCTGCGCATATGTATTGATTTCAACGTGTGCAGAGCGAGAGCTTCTTAACTCTCAGTCCGAGAACCTCGCTAAGAACTTAACATTCAAACAATTCCGGATTGTAATATAATTACGAGAAGGCGAAACAAACGAAATCAGTTGGAAAAGGCCTCAAACTTGATTCGGTTAGAGGGCCAAATAGATAATGAAAACGTAACGGAGTATCCCTGCTGTTGTGCCTGTGTCGCCCTGAATGCAGCAGGAAAAAAAAAACAACCCGAAGAGAAAAAAGAAAACTTTAATGGGCTAATATTGTTGGCACATGCACACGGAAAAACTAGGATTGTATGCCATATCCAATGAACCAAGAGCCAACTACGTGACGGATAAACTAACTCCCTCACTCTCTCTCTCTCTCTCTCTCTCTCTCGGTTTTGTCAATGTTAAACTAATTTAAATTCATTTCGTCATGGTTCCGAATAACATTTTTGGCCGAATGAGACACAATCAAACTTGAACTTCTGACGAGCCAGAAATTACACACACACGCCAGCAAAAGTCGCAGGAGCTGGTGGAAAACAATGAGGCATTGGCAAAAAGAAATTTCTAACTTCGATCGAATAGGAAGAAGTACCGTCAAAGAAGTCGTTTTTTTTTTAGATGAAAAAGTCATTTTCTGTTCCTGTTGTGTTTTCCAGCTTAGAAAAGAATTAGGCACACGAATGGCTCTGTGTGTGACGATGATGACAAAGTCGTCGAAATACACGTTGTAAAATGGAAACGGAGAGAGAACCGACAAACGTTGACCGAACAGAACAGAAGAACGAACGAAAGGAATATTGAATAACAAACGAGGGAATGGACAAGAAAAATGGGAGAAATGACGACATGCCAAGATATTAGCACAATTCAGACGAAAAGTTACAGGTGCCCGTTTCCATTTTATATGTCAATTGCGTTCATTGGCATCCGAAATGAGTGAGTATAGTGAGAAATACGACAAAAAAAAAAAAAAACGAAGCTCAAGCGAATAACATACACACAGCACACAGTGAGCACATAAGTAGCCACCAGAGCCACGAGTTGTAACACTGGGATGAGAGAGAGAGAAAGAGAACACAAGAAAAGCAACGCGAAAGAATGAACAACAAAAGGCAGGCAAGCAGCAAAAAAAGCAAGCAGAATCGGATTGTGGAAAAAAAAAGAAATATACACCAATGAGATGATATTAGAAGCAATCACTAACACGGCACGGCACAATGGTGTATATTTTATTCGGAGCGCGTTGAGCTCGCTTGAGTTTAGCGCGCGCCTTGAAAATTGTTGTGCCTTTCGTTCTCTCTCTCTCTCTCTCTCTCTCTCACACACACATGACAAGCGCTTTATAAGGGAAAAAAGCGGATTTTGTTCGAAAAAAATTTCGATTCGCTCTCTCACTCCCTCTCCCGTTCGTTCGTTCATTCTCAATCGAGTCAAAAGTGCTGCTGGCTGGCTGGCGAATGTGCATGTATGCGTGCGTACGTGTGTGTGTGTGTGTATGTTTCGTTTTTTCACTTCTTCTTCTTTTTCGATTTTTCGCCTGTTTCTTTTGCCTTTTTCCCTAATGACTTTTATCGATTTCTGTCATCGGTTCGCTCTTCCATGTCATGCCGTTTTCGAACTTGTGCTCGACGTGCTCGATAGTTGTTGTGTTTTTTTTTCGTTCTTCTCTAGAGTTGGCAATATTTTTCATCGATATAGAAATTGTTCAGTCGGGGGCTTACAAATCGGTTCGCGATCACAGTATGGCACAGTCCATGCAACTCTATCTCGCTTACTCTCTCTCTCTCTCTCTCTCTTTCTTCTTCGAACTCTATCTCACTCATTCTTTCTTCTTCGAACTCTGTCTCGCTCTATCTCACTCATTCTCTTTCGAACACTATCTTGTTCTCTCTCATTCATTCATTCATTCTCGATTCTAAATGACAATCGACTCATTGCTACTGCTACTGCTGCTGCTGCTTTTTTTCATTTCTCTTCATTTTCGCGATTTTTGCTTGTTCATTTCCATCCGATTTTCCATACATTTCATGCTTATAATGAATGGTCGTCAGACGAGTGACAAATATTGATGGGAAAAACGGTTGTTGTACTCAAATCACAGAGAAGAATGAAAATAAAAGAAAACAGCAATTGTGATATGCAATCAATGAGCAGAAACGATAAACCATAACTCTCTGTCTAATATGAAGTGTATGTGTGACGAAGAAAATGTGACAGGAAAAGAAATAAAAAATGAATTCGATTAAACGACAGAAGAAGAAAATGAGTAAAGAATGGAAGCAAAACGAGTGCAAATACTAAACTAGACTAATGCTGAATGAAACAAGAATTAGAAGAAGAAAAAAAAAAAAATAAGAAAACCGTGTACGGAAAAATATTATGAATTATGCATTGAAAATGGAATGAAATTACACAGAAAATGCTTACATTTGGAACACAAAACCTTGCTGATGATTTGTTCTAAGGAAAAAATATGCTTCAAATATAAATTGCTTGATATAGTTTCGTTCGCTCTCTCTCTCTCTCTCTCTCTCTCTTTCTCTAAATATATATGTATCAATAAATATGTGTATATCACGAATACGTAATGGCTAAATACACACTAAAGAAAAACTAGTGAGAGAAATGTTGTTTGTTTGTTGTGTTTCTCTTTGGTTGTTGTTGTTGCTGTTTTTTTTTTTCGTTTTCGATTTTTCTTTTTAGCTATGCTTATATTGTGTTTTGCTATTTTGGTTATTGATCTTTACTTCATTATTGTGCAGATAAAAACGATCGACGTTCACAAGACAAGAATGTTTTCAGTTGGGTCGAAAAGAGTTTTGGTATCGGTTGGTTGGTCGGTCTGTTCCGTGTGTGAATTGGGTTGTTCAAGTGTGTAAATCGAGAATCCTTTGCTTTTTTTGGCCGTCGTTTATCTTTTCTGTTTCTTCTCACTGCTGCTGCTGCTGCTGCTGCTGCTGCTAGTCACTGCTAATACTGCTCCTGCTGTTGCTGCTGCTTGATATATAAATTCGTTTGTATTACGATCACGCGCTACGAAAAATTCATATGACACACAGACACTTAATTCGCAACAACACTCTGTACATCGATTCCGAAATGTGTTCTTGTCCTCTCGTTTTAGGGCGAATATTTGTTTCGGATTTTTCTTTCTTCCACCCGCACGATTATTCTGAACTAAACAGCGAAACACGCACCAAAAACTTGATTCACACTGATTTCAATTTGTTCGACTGTGTGTACGAAATGACACATTCTGCTTGATTTCAGCTTAATCGTCGTCGTTGTCGTGTTCACTCTCAGTCGTTGCCAATCAAATGACAGCAGCCTTCTTCTTCTTCTTCTTCTTCTTCTTCTTCTTCTTCTTCTTCTTCTTCACACTTTTCAATCAAACTAAAACCAAAATCCATTCGTTTTTCATTCGTTTAGTATGGGTTTTGCCGTGTGTTTTTCTGTATTAACTCCGACTATTTTGCCCCATTCAATCCATGGATACACCGAAAAAAAACGAATAAATCGACTTTTGCAATGTTTACTTCCTTTTCACGTTGTGTATAATCTGTGGTCGACCGTTTTCACTACACTATTCCACTTTGTTCATTTGCTTTGGTTGCGGATGTTGAACAAAAAAAATCGCACCACAAACCACCCAAAATGCTCCCCCATTCAATCCATTCAACTTCATGAAATTGGTTTCACTCTCGTCAGCCACCACTCGGGAATGCAACACATCATTTAAATCGAGTGAAACACAATTTTTGAATTCATTATTCCGTACACACTATCGCTTTCGGGTGTCTCTTCTCGTCTCAACACTCACTATTCGCGGTATTTTTCCATCGAAAATGTTCACACTCAGTTTGATGTTGAGAGATTTTTTTCGTTTTCCTGTGTTTTGCCTTTCCTCTTTCGGTTCTCGGTTTTTCGTTTTCCTTGTCCAAAAATTCCAAAAGATTCTCACGCGACGGGAAATTGGCAAATATTTTGGAATTATTTTTTCGCTTAATTTTTTTTTCTATCTGCTTTACTTTGCTATGTGTAGTTTATATTTTTTGTGTCTTCTTTTTTTGGGGCTGAGAACAAAAAAAGGAGACTTACTACCGTTGCCTTTGCCGTCGCTTTACACACGAATTTTCGAATTTTTCATCAGAGAGAAAATTATATGGAAAACCTCTCCGGAACACTATTACACAAGCGCCTTACTCGCGGATTCATGTGTACGTGCACAGGCACACCATTACCACCGTACCGTAGCGAACAATAGAACATTTTCGATAGGGATGTGTGACGTGAAAAAAAAATACACACACACACACACACACAAGCTTCGTGTATGGTGCATTGCAATGGTGTGCGTGACTGTGTGTGGATGGATGCGCGGCAGCGTAAATTTTCCAAATACGATGAGCGCATAAAAGCGTGTGTGCTTTTGCCCATCTACAATCAACCAATTTTCCCAAAGTCGTCCGCTCTCTCTCTCTCTCTCTCTCTCTTTCCCTCTCTTGACTCTCTACTTACTCTGCACATACACAAAAGCACTGCCACAATATATTTTACGACCCATTCGCGCTTACGATGAAAGAGAGAACAACTATGAGAAGAAGACGAAGAAGAGAAGCAAAAAAATGGGATCAATGAAAAAAGACCCAAGTTCTCAATAGTGCTATACGTATTTCATTGCTATAGCATGCATATGCGCAATAAAAGCCGTCAAATCGAACACGCATCAACACATCATTTTGCCACCAATGTTTCCAACTCATAGTTGTCGTCATCATCATTGTCGTCGTCGTCGTCGTCGTCGTCGTCGTCGTCGTCGTCGTCGTCGTTGTCGTTCAATGAGAGTGTTTCTGTGTATGTATGACTTCGAAATGCCTACGATGCGCCCCCAATGTATGCCTTGTGGTGTGTTAAACCCATCATCTCAATTATGAATTAACTGCCTATAATGAATGCAATCTCTTGTTGTTGCTTTCACCACAGCCAATATATCGACACACATATATTCGGTGTGTATTTATTTCGGCGGAGGACAGGACGGTTGGAGCAAGGGGAGAGTGGATGACATGCGATATGCTCTCTCTAATCCATATCAGTTCGATGGCACGGTGTATTATTCCTGAATAAATATGTTGCCGCTGCTAAGCAAAAGTAACACAGAAATCATCACGTTTTTGGAATAATTTTTTTTCTCGCTATCTCTCTTTCTACCCCGTCCGGAAAAATTATCACGCACCAGCCATAAAAAAATTTTTGCAGCTCTGATAAATGAACAACAAAAGCAATCGAATCCCATTACGAAGCACTGCAATTTGTACATTCACAATATTGGCTGAAAGGAAGGCAACATTGGACGATTGTTGCTGTCGACGTTGTGAATTATGTACGTGCCAAATACGAATAAAATTACTGACTACCGATTTTATATCGCAGAGAATAAGCAGAACGGGTTCAACTTTGAACAGCCGCCACGAGGTTTTAAAATTTTCCTTAGTTTGAAATTGTTTTGATTCGACATAATTCAAATTTAAATGGAGGCAAATCGAAATTCGGCCCATTTTTTGTCAAAAACAGCGAAAAATTACGATTTTGATGGATATTTTCATGCAGATTCCCCCATTTTTGGTTAGAAATCACAGTTTGAATCGAAAGTTTGTTAGATTATTCTGTTGATTCCTTCTGATTTCCCACTATTTTGAGAAGACAACCCAAAATTTGTTAAGATTTTCCACCGATTTGAGAACAAAAACTATGGATTTGTTGCAATTTTTGCTTTATTCTTTGCGATTTCTTATACAAATGTGAGGAAATCTACTTGAAAATGCTACAAAAACCATAATTATTCGCTTTAATTGACAAATGAGCAAAAATCGCAACAAATCTATGGATTTTCTTTCCCAAGTTTTGGAAAAATCTGAACAAATCTTTGGTTATCTTCTCAAAATAATGGAAAATCTGAACAAATTCTAACAAATTAAGTTCAAAAAGGGAAAAATGTTCATAGAAATGTAAAAATTCTTCTTATTTAAAAAAAAATATTTCAACGAAATATGTTGAACAAGAGAATATTTCAAGAAAATATCCATGTGAATAGAGAAGAAAATTCCATTAAAACCCATTCATCAAAAGAACATTCCAATCTTCATTCCAATGTTCATTCCAAAGTTCGAGTTCCGCACATTTTTTCCTCAGCACAAATATTTTTTCGTTTCAAATTCCTTAATGAAAAAAAAAACTTTGGCTGAAAATGGTCAAACTTTTGCTCCCAACAGATTAAAAAGTGATTTGCTTTTTAAATCGATATATAGAGTTATGCTAGATGGAGAGCCGATGTGAGACGACTCTTGAGGTAATTCATGCATGTAAGCTACTTGCGAATGGACGTGTTGTTTGTTAACAGATGGCAGCAAAATGTCCTTCATGCACATTCGGTTCAATGTTTCAATGGAGACGCCAAGCAATAATGTTAAAGGAAAAAAGAGTGCTTTACATATGAATGATATCATTCACTCGCACCTTTGCTAAGACTAAGAAGCTGAATTCCAATTGGATGTTAATACATCTGGTGTGTTGGATGTGTCCAAGAGTAAATGAAGAGCTAAGTAAAAAAAAATCCCGAGAATACGAAAATCGACCAAATTTCAATTTTGTTCAATCAAATCAGTTTTGGCTCAAAACTCTCGGATGAAAAATCACAAGAAAGAAAACATCTTCACTTATAAAACAATTCGCATTTCATTTTATTAAATAAACTTATCATTCTCGAAATTTTATGCACTACGCTTACATCTAATCGAATACGTTATTTATGGGAACTTAATATTCTCTTTCGATATCTTTTCTGTTTGTTCGTTTTTTTCCTTGTTAAGTACTGAATGCCATTTCGTTCATTCCATGAATTTAACATCTACGTTTTGCTATTTACAATTCGTTTTTTCCTTCGTTTGTCTTGGAAATCTCACAACCGTTTGTCGGTGACGTGCTTGAGTAGTTGAGTTTGGTTTTTTTTTATCGGCGCAGTACAAATGACACAGTTAGTAGCATAAATGATACACAATGAAACCGTTTGTTCACATTCGTCCTTGGAATGAAATAGAATCTCCTTTTTCAATTTAACTCAAAAAAATCGATTCGATTAACCCGCAGATTTGCTTGTGAGAAAATGGGCGGTTTTGATGGATTTTAATACAAATTTGAGTTTTTTTTTGCCAATTTCAATTAGACATTCGCTCATCCTTTTGACAAGATTCATTTTGATGCTGCTGCTGCTACAAAATTTCATTTTTGAGTTTGGTTCGATGATTTGAGACGTTGCTTATGCGCTATTTACAGGTATACTGTTCTATGCGTTCATGACAGATATCACATTGGACTTCACAACACCATTTAAATTTACAGCGGCACTGCCATTTCTTATTAAACTGATGAATATTATGACCGCGGCCACAGCACAAGAGATCACAACTGTCGAGTCCGTGTGCGGTGAGATTGCATGGCCGATCAACGGTGCCCAACGAACCGGTGCTTAAATTTCGTTCACAATACTGCGGCGATGGATCCAAATGGACAAGCTCTAAGCGTTTCGGTGTCTCATATTTACGACGATTATTATGTAGTGACGTCGTACGATCCCTGGACGGCGGAATAGAGAAAGAAAAAGAAAACAATGAAAAATCGATGAATAATTGATTTCAAAGAACGATGTTAAGAAGAAAAAATAGAAAAAAATGAAAGAAAAAAATGAAAAAAATGAAAGAAAAAAATGGAAAAAATGAAAGAAAAAAATGAAAAAAAGGAAGAAAAGAAAAGAAATAACAGAAAAACAAAAAATCACCGAATTAAAAAAGACAAATTGATTTTTCTTATGGATTTTTCTAACAAAAAATTGTTATTCTCATTTTTTTTTCAATTTTCTTCCAATTTTTTCTTCAATTCTCCAGAGAAATATTTCTTTTGTAAAATCAAACAACGAAACTGCTCGAATTTCAATTAAAAAAAAGGTGCAATCGCTTCAATTTGCGTCTGAGAATTACTTACCGTTTAATCACTAAGCTTAAGTTATGTTCGTTGTGTAGGCCTGAAGCGCGAGTTGCATGCCGATCGATGACGGCTTCAACACTTTTGGCTCTGTGGTATTTTTTCATGAGAACATCGCCGATAACGCGAAACGGCGGCAAACTCTTCCAACACGTTTTCATTGCACATGATCCACTTACGCCGTGGCATTTACAATCGGTGCGCAGTAGATTCTTTACCAGCTAAAATGAAGAGAAAAAAGAGAAGAAAAAAAACAAAAATTTGTAACAAAAGCATGGCATGCGATTATTTTGTGCTTTCGGAATGTGAAAAATATTTTTAAAAAAAAAACCATTAGTCATATTAAATTTATCTAAGTGCTTTGTGTTGCACGGAATCGCCGGACGCTTGGCATATATACAACCATTTTTTTTAGTATTGAATGGGATAACGGTAAGTGATCTTAGTATCGATTTATTGAAGGTTTTTTTTTCTTCTGTGCGAATTTCATTTCTGAAACGTGTTCTGTTGAGCGAAGCCGTGCGCGTCGCGCAAAAAATATTTATGACATGAAATCAAATTAACTTGCACAAAGCATGAATGAGTGCCAGCCACACACGTATATCGCTTTCGCTCAAGTTCGAAAGGGCATTTCCAGCAACAAATCGCCCGTTCTCCGGTCGCTGTGTGCTCTCAACATAACAATTCGATTGGCCGCATTGATTTATTGGGCTTCAACACTTTGAGTAAAATTCACAAAAGATTCTTCTTTTGCAAACGACGACTTTTTTTTTCGTCTTGTGCAATTTTGTTTTTTTATGCAATTTTTGCCTTCGTACACTTTTTGCTCCTTCGAACAAATTGTTCTTCATACAAATTTGTTGTTCCATACGGCGATGCCATTTTGCCCGAAAGCAATCGAACGCCTTTGCTCTTTACCAACACTCTTTTCTCTTCATAATTGAAATAATACTGTGGCAAATATAGCATTTCTGAAGCGGCAGTAGCCAAGTTTTTTGAGCCTACTATGCTTATTATACACACACACACACAAAAAAAAAAGTTCATTGATGGAACTATGAACAGCTCGGTTGTTCATATGTGTCCAATTGTCCATGGAAATTACCATTACCTTTCGACCGGCTCGATTGTTGTGCAAGTTCATAAGACTGCGGGCGTCCCCTTCAATTTCACGCGCATCGAAGAATTTCCGTGCAAATTTCATACCAAAATTGATGTCAGCCGAACAGCCGCCCCATTTCCATGTTTGTTGCTGTTGTTCCAACTGTTTAGCATATGGCAATTGAAGACGATGGCTTGCATCGCAACCGCACAACGAGATATTACCGCGAGCACAGGCGGCCGTAATGGCGTGCACAGCGCCCGCACTCGATATAGCATATGTGAAAGCCGCCTCACGAGAACCTAAAACCAACGAAAGAAAAAGTCAATTTTAATTACGGATCTAAAACCTGGATTAAAATGTGTTTCAGCTTATTTTTCAAATGGATTTAAGTTATGTTGGGAATTTTGATCAAGCAAAGGTCGCAATATCTTTGTCTCATCTCAATAGAGAAAGGAAATTATGACGAAAAGCGGGAAAAAATCCAAATGGAAAGATTTTTGCTACTTCCAAGAGAAAAACCCCCAAAAAAAGACTGCCTCACTCAACCAAAAGTGTCACGCTGCAAATCCATCGTTAAGCAAATCAATCACAAATCATCAAACTAACTTTAAATCAATGATTTGAATTGATTCAATAGATTCAACCATGACGATCACATTTTTCATGACAATCGCAGCGAGCAGACAAAATGCGATCAAACAAGCGAACACCTTTTCCACAAGTCTTTGGCTCGGGCATAAAACCAAAGTGTTGGCATGTCAATTTGTGTTTCGAATCAAAAGTATTCTCACACCTTTGGTTCTCCTTTTGCGCGCTAGACTCTCTCACACACAACAATCACCTAATTTGGTGTGGCGATTTAGATAGCAATAAAAACTCGGTTGTAAAACGTCAATAAATTTGTTCGGTGATTTTTTGTTTCAGTGCATTCTCTTGAGATTTTTACGCTTCTCACTGTTGGACAGCGCATTTGCTCTCATAAGTCATAAAAATCAAATCACATCGTTGTTGAAATGCAACCGATGCAAACAGGCAATCAATTTACGACTTCACGCATACCATCGCATCAATAGAAACACATTTCGACACGACGATTGGAGAAAAAAGTTTATATCCTATATTCAGCGCGGGGTGTCATTTATTCAAGGAGAATTAGAGGAAGACGGAGACCGTGTGAGTGAGAGAGCAGCAATTAATTTGTTCAGCAATGTGAGTTGTTGTTTTTGTATGATTCAACGCAGTCAAATTTTTCAACTGTGAAGCTGTGCTGATCGCTTTCAGTATAATTTAGTTTTAGCGGAAGTTTTTTCCACGACTGACGTGCAATTTGGCTTATACGCAAACGACTATAAGTCTAATTTGATTTTTTTTTAAATGACCAATCGATTCTTTTATTGCTAAGATGTCATAAATCGCCACTCATTTTTTGGCTCGTCAAGTGGATCTCTTGATCTTATATTGATCTATTGTGTATACCAAGGCATAGGCACATGCGTCAATTGCGAAAATTAAGTAGCTTAAACGTGCCTCACGAGCTTGTATTGAACTTATGAGCACGAATGTTTTGACGCATTCGAACACTTAAAACTTATTATCAGAAACATATGTTTTTCTCACAGATTACGTGACAGATTCATAATCATTTGTATTGAATACGTGTCTCCGGAAACGAAATGCTTTACTCTGATTCATATTCATATGATAGAATCATATTATGATAACTGCTGTTTTTTTTTCTCTCGATAAGGATTCACGACTGTTCGCACTCTATATATGTATACGTATTGCTTTTCCAAAAGCAGATCAGTCTTTGTTAATCATTTCATTGGCGTTTGTTAAGAATAAAAGTCGAGTCCGAAATGAAGTCTCGCATCGTTCTTCTTCTGTACATTTTCGGAGTTTATTTGGAGCAGCGAATCTATCTACGATTAACGTGCAATCGATATTACTGTGTTGTTTTTTTTTTAATTTCTCCCTAGTGTAAAGAATTTGTCGATGGCACCTTAAGAGATTCACTTACACTGCTACCGCACCAATTGACATATTGCGTTCAACTTCGGCATGGATATTTTCTAAGGTTGTACCAATTCAGCAGAAGAAATATTGACCCGTTACATTCACCTGAAGCGGTTAAAATGACGAATTCTGAATACTTTCTTGACAGAGTTCGGTCTACTCAGATTATTTTAAATGATCAATAAGTTTTTTTATTGCTAAGATGTCATAGACCACCACTTAATTTTTAGCTCGTCAAGTGGATTCCTCTATCTTATCAATATATTGATCTATTGTGTATTCGAATGCATAGAAACATTCGTGAATTGCGACATTTTCTCAGAAAGTGAGGAATCTTTCGGGTGCCGGAACAATATGTGAACAAGCAAGTAGGCTCGAAAAGTGACAAATCATTCCAAAATCTTTATTGGAATATTTCAATACAAAAAAAATGTAATTCAAGGCTATCAAATGACTTTCTGCGTATCGAACGCGTGTACATGAGGGAATCGAAATGCCGTGCTCTGTTTCATTATCATATATCAGGTATCTGCTGTTTTTTTCTCGATAAGGCAAATATTTTCGATAAGGATTTACTACGGTTCACACACTATATACGCTTGTTGCTTTGACAACAGCAGTTCAGTCTTTGTTAACTATTTCATTGGCGTGTGTTAAGAGCAAAAGTCGTGTCCGAAATGAAGTCTTGCATCATTCTTATTTTCTACATTTTCGGAGTTCATTGTGCCAATTTGAGTGTTGAATATCGAAGTTATCGAAATGGAACAGAGTGTGGCGAGAAGAATATGGAGGGTTTGGACTTGGAAAAACTGATTAATTTGGCTGTGGAAAATGAAAGCTGCCGAAGTGAAGCAATGGAGATAATTCATCGGAAGTATAACTTCGCGGAAGTCGATTTCCAGCGATGGAAAAATGAAGTGACGATTGAACATGGCACTTTATTTATTGATTACAAAAAAGTTCCCGAAGGTTTTTGGAAAGTTTTTGGTCATACAATTAAGAGTCTTCGATTCGAGTGCAAATATTTAGAGGACAAAGATCAACCCATAAATATCGTAGAATTTCTCGAATCACTGCGGGAGCTAAGCATAGGATGGTCTGTTGATTGTAAATTTTCTACAACGAAGCCATACAAAAAAGTCGATTTTCTAGAAGTTTCTAACTTTGAACCTTTTCCATTTGATTATCCCAAAATATTTCCAGAGCTACGAAGTTTACATTTGCATGGTAATTATACTCTCTTCGATGGCAAAATTCCACACTTAACAAATTTTAGGGCGTCAAATATACCGAATAACGCAAATTTTACAAAATTTTTCTCAAATAATCCACAAATTCAAACGCTGGGTGTTTTTCAACCCAGTATGGAATATCTTAAAGCTGCTCACGATTTACTGCCACAACTCCAAGATTTTGCTTTCGATGTAGCGGAGAAATTTCCATCGTACATTGGGCCAAATTTTGTGTTTCCAAATGTTAAAAATCTTACAATTTCTGATGGATTTCAAATGTTTGATCATTCAAAGTTCACATTCAAATCGCTTGAATTGCTTGGAATATATCCTCATTCGGATCGCATCGAAGAGATACATGTGATTGGAGACGAATGGATTCGTTTCATTGAAAACCATAAACATTTGCAGAAACTCAATGCTAGAGCATATTTTGATGTAAATAAACTATTGAAACTCTCTAAACTGGGTAACTTAGTTCGAGCATACACCTTCGCTGGACCAGACATTGAAGTTAAACACATTGTGACATTTGTTAGAAACAGTGAAAATATGCGGGATTTCGGATTGTCTTTCGTAAAAGATTTTGAATCGGAGGCGTTTAACAAATATGTTGAGCATTTGAGGAACGAATTGGACAAAAATTGGAAGCTTGTTCATACCAATAAGGGTACTACAATTGAGTCGATAAACAATCATACTACAAATGTAATTACATGGAACAATTCAGTTCGACTTATTAAAAACAACGGCATGTTAAGCTTGAACTAACTTGTTAATGTAATCAAAATGTCATTCTGTTCAAATGAAAATGAAAATAAAATGAGAAATAATTGAGAGAAAAACACGATTGCCTTGAAGGCTCTTAAATTGTTTATTATAGTACAGATTTTCAATTTTTTTTCCATTGAAATCTTGCAATCAGAAACAATAATGGAATTCTCGGATTATGAGGTAAAAATTGAGTGTGGACGAATTCCACATCCAAAAGGATATAATTCTGCTCGTCGAGTTGAAAGTTGACGTCGTTTTGTGTAGATTATTTTCATTACACACAAACAATGAATGCATTTTAGCATTACAAGTAAGGTGAGTGTGTCATGCCCCATTCGCATTCTATCGTGATCTCAACGATGATCTCCTTGACAAAATTGATAAGTTTATTCAAGGTATCGACACGAAAAATTTGCTTCATTGTTACGGAAAACCGTTTGCAGTTAGATACCAGATCCTTGCTGGAAAAATGGCAAAGAAACATTTGGAGTGGGTCAATTGAATGGAGTTTATTTCCAAATTTGCTCGTTGAAAAGTTATCCACTTGACACGATTCTAATGATCCAGCTTTGATTTAAGGACAATATTATTTTCAATGCGAAAGATAACCGACAGATAATCCATTTTTAAAATAAAAAGAATTACATTCGTAATCCCGAACTTTTCCGTACCGTTGTCCGCACTTTTGGTTATTTTTTGTGAATTTTCTTGAATAAAGGCAGTTTTCTAGTGAAAAATCGGTCACTTCAGTTAAAACTTCGACAATTTTGTATGAGAGGTACCCGTAAACCGATTCTTATTGGCTTTAAACTTTCTGAGGTTTCATTTTTAGGAGAAAAAATAAGATTCTGAAAGTTTCATGCTGATCGCATTTGCATAAATTTGGTTTTTGACCCTCAATTTTTTCCAAGAATAAAAAGAATTACATTGGTAATCCCGAACTTTTCCGTACCGTTGGCCTGCGTTGTCCGTAGGTACTTTTGGTTATTTTTTGTGAATTTTCTTGAAATAAAGGCAGTGAAAATATAATAATGAAAATAAAGTGAAAAATCGACAATTCTGTATGAGAGGTACCCGTAAACCGTACCTCATTGGCTTTAAACTTTCTGAGGTTTCAGTTTTTGGAGAAAAAATAAGATTCTGAAAGTTTCATGTTGATCGCATTTGCAGAAGTTTAGTTTTTGGCCCTCAATTTTTTCCAAGAAAATTTCGACAAAAATTGAGGACAAAAAATCAAACTTCTGCAGCTGCGATCAACATGAAACTTTCAGAATCTT